CTATTTCTTAGTTGTCTACTGACTTAATGTCTCTGGATTTTTTCTCTAAATTTCTTCGTAGGTCAAGTGCAAGTTAAACAAATTACTTCAACTTATTTTATTGAACATAAACTGTTTTAGATTACGCTTCTATATGAGCACGTATATCTTACAGAGTAGAATTATTAAGGAGAAACTGCAGAAGATGAGATGTGCAAACTCTGTTTTTCTGAGGCTGAGTTAACTATCTATGCCCTCCATTGAAAAAGGGATCCCTTTAGATTCCAATACTTTCCCCTAATAGAATATCAGCAGTAGCAGTAATACCATCCAACTGTAGAAGGTCAATTCAGTTACAAAACCCCTGATCTTTTCTTTGGAGGGTCAATCTACTTTCAACTGTAACCATAATCTTTTACCTGGACGCTCCAACACCAACAACAACTTACTTTAGAATATAAGTTTTTAACAGATACCTCATAGGTTCTGTCCTACTATCACAAACTGTATAAAAGGGGTCTTGATTTTGTTTCAAGTCAGAAGGATCCTCTCAATCATGTGATGCTACAATGATGTACAGTACACTTGTATGTTACAGTTCATGCTAGTTGGGAACAGAAAATCTCTGTGGCAAAAATCTAGCTGAGTTCTAGCTCATGCAACTTGTAGGTGAAGATGACAAGATAATATAAGAAAGTCAATTTTCATGGATTAATCAATATTTTTTTTTTTCATTTTCCTATGGTAAATGAAAAGTGATATATATATATATATATATTTTTTTTACTTTTTACCTATGGTAATTGAAAAGTGATATCTAGTTTTCAAATATATGTGTAGCAAAAGGTGTTTGTCTTTTTGTAGTGAGAAGTCTGACAATCTAGACTTTTGAAATACATTTGGACAGCTAAAACTAAGTTTCGAACTTATGAGGACTTGTTTCACATACATGAGCCCTCATTCAGATATGACAAACAAGTATATGATGATACTTCAAAAATAAAAGGAGGTGGAGATATGAAACGAGTTATTTGTTACATTTGAAGTGAAGCATGGACTTTTCAAATAGTTCCATATATCCATGTGAGGTTTTTGAGTGTGCTTGAAATCCCTTCCTCTTCAAATTTCTGTAATTGAAAGTTTAATGTTGTTGTAGCTTGTTCCATATGTCTGTACCTTTTTTTGGTTGTTAAAATCATTATTTTTATGATTCCTGCATTCAGAATAAGTGCCTGTTGTCCATTGTAAAAGGTCTGTTATGCTTGGTTCAACATGTTTGCTCCTTCAGACTTCATATTGGCTCCGGAAATTCTTTCTGGTCTTCAATTCTTCATATTTGTTCTGGAAATCTCCTTTCGTCTGTTGGCTGTGTTTTTCTTTTCACATTCTCGCTTGTTACAGACATTGATTTGAGTTGCATGGGTGTTCATTTGAAACTTCTTGAACCAGTTTTTCATGACCTAGTGCAGACATCTGTATTAACCATCAAACTGCTGTTTTAGTTTTGGATGTCTGAAACATAAGTTAATTAGTTGAATCTCATTTACAGCACTAGTAAATCTTATTGAGTACAAGACTAGACTTGTTTGGAATCACTTAAGAGTTAAGGATTGATTAAATTTAAAACTAACGGAAGAAGTCTCGTATGAGCCCAATGAAGTTTGGCCTCAATTAGAATGAGGAGAATAATTCTCCTTGGGATGCTCACCACAATAAATTATTTGATTTTAGGGTCCTGTGTTGGTGGTTTTCCCATTTAATCTGTGAAGATCTCTGTCTCAATTTAGGAGCTTCTTTGGCTTCTTAATTATTCTAGTCGTTCAGATTAAGGAGATCCAAATTTGGTGTTGAGAAAGGACGAACTAGTTTAAATTCAGCTCTTGGGACCGGACTATTCTGCTCTAAGCTAGTTTGGTAGGTTATATTTGTACCAAGATTAATTAATATGACCTCAACAAGGTTTTATTATATTTTTTTCCACAAAATTTGTATATTAATCGTATAGTTTCACCATGTGAGATACAACGCCCCTTAAATATGAATTATTCGCCTGAAAGTCCTTTTTATTGGCATTTACAGGCAATTGAGACTGGTGTTGGATATGGGGAGTGGTTCCATGGAGAGGCAGTCGCTGCTGGCATGGTATGAAGATGTTTACTTTCTAGATTAACATATGCATGTTCTTGGATCCCGCTATTCTCTCATTCTTATTGACATTGGTGTGTCAAATTTTCAGGTCATGGCAGTCGACATGTCTTACCGGCTTGGTTGGATAGATGATTCTCTTGTAAAGAGGGTGCATAAGATCTTACTGCAGGCAAACTTGCCTACAGCACCTCCGGAAACTATGACTGTAGATATGTTCAAATCTGTAATGGCGGTGAGTGAAAACGAAGACGAAGATTTATCACACATAAAGCTTTAATAGTTTGAATCTATCTTTTAAATTCTTGGTTTTCTCAATGTGATTTCAGGTGGATAAAAAGGTTGCTGATGGATTGCTACGGCTCATTCTACTGAAAGGTCCATTAGGCAATTGCGTTTTCACGAGTGATTATGATAAGAAAGCCCTTGATGATACTTTGCATGCTTTTTGCAAATCCTAGTTCAGAATCTCAGCTATTAATTTTTTTTAATTTTTTTTTTTGGGTCCCTTTTTTATCCATGTTCTCTATCATAATGTCAATCTTTTTCCTGTACTATTAGTCTTTTCTTTAAAAAATATATATTTAAGGAGAAAGAGGGGTGTACTTGTTTTCTGTAATATTGCCACCATAAACTCTATTTTATTTACATACCAGCAAGGTTGGAATAGATTTGTGTTAGCTTGCAAATTCCATGTCAGTCAACCGTATAAAAAAAAGCATCAAGTTACTTTTTCTAGTTGCAAGTGAAAATAATTACTTATTTTGAGTGTAAATGTGATTGTCTTATCAAAGTAAGTATAAAATTTAAGGAGTTATGTTTTATGTACAATTAGTTTGACACATGATATTCAAATCAACAGTTAAAATGCATGCCACTTTATCATCCGTCAACAAGTTGTAAACAATTTTTGTATAAGTAGCTTAATTGAAATTTAAGTTAGTGTGACCACTCAAATGATTTAGAAGTCATATAGCAAGAATTTACCTCAAATTTATCCTTAATTATTGTAATATTTTAAAAAGTAATTTGAGTTATTAAAATTTAAAAAATAATTAATAAAATGCTAATAAATTTAATTTAATAAATTATTCTACTAATAGAAATTTAAATATTAAACTAATTTGTTCTTGTCATTTATCATTTTCCTGTCTAATTACAAAAAAATAATAATAATAATAATAATAATAAACTGTTATTACCACGACCATAGTTTATTTAGACTTGTATTTTTGAAGAAAAAGCACTTTTTAATGGAGAGAAAGCAACATTATTTATGATAATAAATTTCAGATTTAGCTAAATGAATTCAGTGACTTTTTCAGTATAATTAACGCATAAAAATCGTAATTGTTAACTTTATTTATCATCTTTTTTTCTTTTTTAATCGTTGATTTGAGTTCAAAGAGATGCGACTAACTTATTTTTATTTTTGTTAATGTCTTAAGAGCATATTTGGTTAGTAACTTATCTTCATATTCGGTAGAATGTACAATTACTCCTCACATATTCATAGTTTTCATAAGTTCTACGTCTTATAATCGCTAAAAATTATAATTTATCATTGACCATATGTGCTGATCTTTTTCGAATTTCCCAAGTGGATGAATTTATCTTGCCGGAGAAGTGCAGAAATGAAAGCAACTTTCCTAGCATAAATGGTGCGTTTGACTTTACATCTTTTAAAAATAATTTTCGGTATTAAGTTTAATTAATAAATTTATCAATGTTTTTAGTATATTATCATTTTTGAATAGAAAATATATTCCATTACTTTGTTAAGACGATTAGTTGAAACACATGTTTGACTTTGTTTATAACCACTTATTCATTACTTATATGTTTATTTATAATTTAAACTGCTTACGAGCCTTCAATGTTTTTAATACAAACTTTAATAAGGAATCACAGCTCTCAACCCTATTTGGTTCGTCTATAAAATTTGATTAAAATTTAAGTAAAAGTCAATAATTAATTTTAATTATACGTTTCATGGTTTCCACAATTTTTCAATCGTACATTTCATTAATTTTTATTAAAATTTACTAAAAATTTGATTTTTATCTAAATCAAATAGGGGCTTAGTCATTTAGCTTGATTTTTAATTAGTGCAAGTGTATTATGTTGTGAAATTTTGTCTAAAGTTGAGTTCATTGATTACAACTTAACTTCATGTTTCTAAACATGTTTGAATAATTGAACCAGTCATTTTTCCTCCTTTTATGTAAAGAAATTATTTATTTTAAAAGTAAACCTCTTTATACTTATCTTATGATTAACTTTACCAATAGCCACTAAACTTTAAACTCAATTTCACTTTGGGAATTGGACTTTAATTTATTTCAGACACATCACCGAACTTAACAAAATATTTCGTTAAGACTATTGATCAGTTTGGCATGCAACATTTTTAACTGAAAATCATGCGTGTTCATGTGACGAGTCATCAAACCCGCACGTAAAATATTCAATTAAAAAAGAATTATACTGCTCAAACAGGGCCTGTGATAGGGGTTGACTGAAATTTGAAATTCTTATTTTTTTAATCACAATTTTTATCAATACACTACTCAATAATGCACTTTTTCCTCTCAAAATGAGTCTCAAAACAAGGGTAAGATTTGTAAAAATGAACAAGGATTTGTTGGGTTGGGGTGGTTGTGGTAGATTAATTATATTTAACAATATTTTTAGTATTAAAATATCTAATTATGATTTGAATTTTGTATAAATAAATTTTGGATCTGATTTTTAAAATTGGATCTTAAAAATGTGATTGGGTGTAATTTTCATTTTTTTTTTTGTTGGGTAAAGTCTTGTTTCAATTGTCAGCCAAAAAGGCCCACACGAAATCGACCCGGCCCAAGCGAGAGAGGCGTAAACAAGGGGAATTGGTTGGCAAATGATAACCAATAAATCCTCGATTTCAATGGCGATGGAGAGAGAGAGAACGCTTCAACGGCATTATTTCCCGGCTAAATAAGGTATTCTTTATCATGCCCTCCCATCATTCTCTCTCTAGATCTCGATCCCCATTTTCTCCCTCCAAATTCTCATTGCATTCCATTCTTCATCCTGCATTTTCATTTTTTTCAATTAGGGTTCATTTTCGGTTGAAAATTTTGCCTTATTTTGTTACTGAAACAGATACACAAATGCCGGCTTTGAATCGATAGAGAAAGGGAGAAAATGTCGTACAGTAGGTTTTAATATTGTATAGAACCGGTCTTCGAGAGAAGATCTGGCCGAGAGAGACAATAAAAGAGGGGATTTACGGATAATGAGCGCATCTAGATTCATAAAGTGTGTGACGGTAGGAGACGGTGCCGTCGGAAAGACTTGTCTCTTGATTTCTTACACCAGTAACACCTTTCCCACGGTTTGCCTCCCCCTCCCTAATTTTCTTTATCGCTTTTTTAATTTAGAAATAATGTTCTTTATTATTTTAGAACAGGAAAATTGCTGGATTTAATAGCTTAATGTTCATGTTTCCTTTCAATGGACGTTCACTAGTCTTTCTATTCATGAATCTTCAATCAGTCACAGGGATTCTTTGTATATTTTAGAGTTTTGTGTTTCTTAAGTTTCACTTTTCCCATATTACTATTTTTCTTTGTGGGGACGGCAATGATAGTTTTTGCGTTTTGAGTTTTGAAAGGCCTCACAGCATTGAATCTTCCATGTCTGCCTACTTTAGTTTAAGTCGGCGTATTACCGAGTTCATATCCATTCCTATTTCAATTTAAATCCCGGGATGAAATGATGTCAGATTGTATTGGGTATCGTCATTGAAGCCAAGAAAAGTTTTTCTTTGCAGCCAAATCTTATAGAAAGTAGCAGCCAAATCTTATAGAAAGTAGGTCCTATCAAAAGAGGGTTGGTACAAATATCTTTGAGAACTAGTGCATATTTTTTGGTTCTCACTTATGCCACTTTTTTCATGGTGTGAATGATCTCATTTTGTCAGATATTTTATTATATTTTGGAATATGTTGTAACTTTTTCCCAGATTTGAAACATACTTTAATTTCTTTTGCATTTAAATGGAACAGGACTATGTGCCTACTGTATTTGATAATTTCAGTGCAAATGTGGTCGTCAATGGAGCCACCGTTAATCTAGGCCTGTGGGATACTGCTGGTAACCATTAGAAAAATCTTCATGATGTGTATATTTATAGCACGTTGCATGTGTGTATGCAGCATACTTACAAATTAATTACATACACTTTTATGTACCTGTTGCTTTTTTCTTTTACAGGACAGGAGGACTATAATAGATTAAGACCTTTGAGTTATCGTGGAGCTGATGTTTTCATTTTGGCATTTTCTCTCATCAGCAAGGCCAGTTATGAAAATGTAATAAAGAAGGTGAGGACTTGATGGCTCTAACAAGTTAGAAGTGTGCGTTTTACTGATTAGAGTACCCAGTTTTGTGTTATTTAAGACAGTTCCTTTTGTTTTGATAAGATTTTTCCTTTTTGGTTTGTTCTTCCAGTGGATTCCGGAATTGAAGCACTATGCTCCTGGCGTTCCCATCGTTCTTGTTGGCACAAAACTTGGTAAGATGTTAAGTGCAACTTACCCAAAAAGAAAAAAAAAAATAAATGAATAAAAGAAAAAAACTGAACACTTGCACTCACCCAACAATGAGAGAGCGAAAAAAAAAAAAAAAAAAAAAGAGACACTGAACACTTGCACTCACCCAACAATGAGAGAGTGAGAAGCCAGGATTCTAGCTGAAGTTACTTCTGTCTCAAAATTAATGGATGGATGTTTTCTTTTCTTTTTTCTCTTTTTTGTGTGTCAACGTGATGGTTTCCCAAGGATTATTTTCATGATTGCATTGAACCATTCAAACTTTTATTTAAAAAAACTTTCAAAACATGGCAGTTGATCTGAATTTTAATTAGTTGAGTAATTATGTCCACAAATATCTCTCTAGGTATAAATTAGGCAAACTGGCACCTACAGCTACAATTTATAATCTTGATCAACATTGAATTCCATTCGAAAAATCATACATGACTAGAAATACTCGGTAAAATGACAAGTAGACCCTCTAAATTAAAAAATTGAAAAAAAAAATATAAGAAAAATTTTAAATTAAAATAAACCATCTTTATCCCTATTCCCCTACATCAATTGTTTCCACCCAACCCCCACCGTGTTGCCTTGCGATGTCTCCCTCCCTTCTAGAAGGGGGTCACTTGGTGGGGAGACTTGAGGTGATGGTGGGGTGGGAGGGGCGGGGGGCTGGACATGGAGCCATTTACCGGATGGATGGGGGAGGAAGATGATGGTTATTTCTTTTATTTTTCATTTTTGAGTTGCCCATTATGCCCTAGAAAAAATATACCTTTTGTGGGGGCTAGTGAACAGTAAATGCATTTATTGGTTAGTACTTAGTAGGGATCCAAATGCTAACAAATTGAAGGATGGAAATCTAAATGCCAAAGAAATTTGAATGGGGATCCAAGTGCTTTTTTTGCATATAAAATGGGGACTATAGGTGCTTCCCTGAAAATTTCAGCTTACGACAAAAGTTAAATAATCCCATTCGTCTTGAAGTGGAGGGATTACGTCTTTATGATGGTCACTGTTCAATATCATATCTACTATGCTTTTCCTTCCTGATGGTAGTAAGTTTAGGTGATTGCTGCCAAATGCATCATTTTAATCAAGTACATTTTTTTTTCCTCTGATACATTGAATTTGATTGTAAACAATTATCTTTGTAGTTTTTGTAGGTTGCAATTTATTAGTTTTCATTCACTGACGATGTTGTCTATGTTGCTATATAGATCGCTGCAATGGTCTAAGGAGGTTCTTATTTGGTTTATGTTCTAGTTTGGTATATAACTGTTATATTTAGGCATTAGTCTGCTACTTAATAGGAGGAAGGGTTTGTGGACATTCATTAGTTCAGTAGTTTGGTAGGTTACAAAATTATTTATGTAGTGACGGCTTGTTCTTAATTTATTGCTTGGTTTCTTTATTCTAATTTGTTTATCCATGTTATAAAAGAACTACCATTGTCAGTATAAAAATCTCTGCATTCTGTGAAAGAACCTTAGAAGTGAATTTTGTTTATGATATGTTATATGAAGGGTCTCATTTGTGACTAATTTAATGATTGTTGGACTCAGATCTTAGAGATGACAAGCAATTCTGCATTGACCATCCGGGTGCTGTACCAATCACTACAGCTCAGGTGAAAAATTTATGTTCCTTTTCTTTTCCTTAATAAAATTTTGGTTCATTTCTTGTAGATCTTTCATTGTTTGAAATGTATGGTTTCATTTCCAAGCATTTTGTTTCTCTTTTAACTTCCAGGGTGAGGAGCTGAGGAAAATCATTGGAGCATCTTCTTACATTGAGTGTAGTGCAAAATCACAGCAGGTTTGTATGTCTACTCTGGAGACTGTCGTATATATATAGAAGACTTCTCCTCGAGGCTTAGATTACTTAACTTACTCAAAATGTTCTCACTGCAGAATGTGAAAGGGGTTTTCGATGCTGCCATTAAAGTCGTGCTCCAGCCTCCCAAGCAGAAGAAAAAGAAGGGAAAGGCTCAAAGGGCCTGCTCTATAATTTGATCATCAATAGGCTCTATACTCCTCTTTTTGTCCCTTCCTCTTTCTTTACCTTAGAGGAATTAGGTCCTTTCCCTTGTATGTATTCACTGAAAATGCTAGTGATCTCTGGGATATATCGGTGGCTGCTTTTTGTTGTGCTTTCGATCTCAATATTGAGAATAGGTTGCACTGTGGGCCACTGCTTTATGTTCATCCTGCTTTGATTTGTTATTGTATGGATTAACGGACCAAATTTTCTCGTCGAAAGAAACTTGCCTTGTGATGTTGCTTCGTTATATTAGTAATCTCTATTGTAAATTCCGCCTTAATTTACTTTAGCTTCATTGATACGTAGAGAAGAAATAGTTCATTTAAATTTTTGATACACTATTATGTACATTGTGTCGCATTTTGGAAAATTGGTTTACTCTTTATTTCTTAGATTGGCTTAATTTTCAAGCTACCTGCCTTATTATTTTTATCTATTTTTGTTCTGTTCTTGAGGGTGAAGAGGAATGATGTCCTTTGAAATAAAATAATAGAAGCTGTTAGAAGATAAGATTCCATTACTAGAGGCAATTAGACGTGGGACAATGGAAGGTGTGTTAATTGTAATAGCATCCATTCCCACTCTAGAAAGTAACTAGTTGACATTTCTTCTTATCCAATCGATCGAATCTTCTTGTCAATTTGAAGAAATGGAGGCCGTAGGTTGTAGCGGCATGAATGGAATCCATTGGAATTCTCTCTCTCTCTCTCTCTCATACGTAGGTGCATGAAAAGTTTCCATTGAATATGTTTAGTGCGTAATATTGAATCAAACACGACATTAGAGTAGACGACTAACCAATGTTTAGGATCAGATCGGGAACAAACTAGACTTAGACTATTCATGTTGGGAGCATAGAATTAAGCTACTTTGCTAGAAAATATTAACATTGTTGTTGACACATGTATTCGTGGCAAAACATGATTGGATGTAAAAATTGATTTTTTTAAATCAGTTCAATGGAATAATGTCACGTGGCATTTTGTCAAGGAAGATGTCAAACTATTTTGGTAATGTAGCATGGGGGCATATTGGGAAGGTCATTTTAGAGATTGTTAATTTGATAGCTCATACTACATTTTCCCAGGGAATCTATACTGTGCCCACTTGATTAGAAAGTTCCCACTCAGTCTTGGTTTATGCGTGTATATATGCTTCGTCTATCACCCAATTTCTTCCATGAGAAATTGTCTGAAAACATTGTGAAAAATTGAGTTGAGTTGCTTTCTTCAATCAAATGGCATCTAGGAGAATTCTCAAGGAGTTCAGGGAATTGCAGAGAGACCCTCCTACTTCCTGCAGTGCAGGTTCAACATCCTCGACTTGCCTTATCATTCATCGATACATCTAGTTGTTTGTCTCTGTCTTTTCTTTCTACGTATCATCACGTCTAATAATGAACTTTGTTGACTCATCATATCCTAGTTATCCTCCTTAAAGTACGCCGGTATAGGTCCAAAATCAGTGTTAAGAATATCATATCCGTTCTCGACTAGTCGAGTCAATATATTTTCATTTCTTATTTTATTTATTTTAAAATATTAAATACAGGTCCGGTGGCACAAGATATGTTTCACTGGCAAGCAACTATAATTGGGCCAAATGAGAGCCCATATGCAGGGGGCGTTTTCCAAGTTACTATCCATTTCCCCCCTGATTATCCTTTTAAACCTCCAAAGGTATATATCTAAATTAAATATAATTTTACTGCTTATAATTGTTAATTATTAAAAAGAAAAAAAAAAAGATATATATTAAACAAATTGATGAACAGGTTGCCTTCAGGACAAAAGTTTTTCATCCAAACGTCAATAATAATGGTAATATTTGCTTGGATATTTTAAAGGAGCAGTGGAGTCCCGCTCTCACCATATCAAAGGTGATTCTTTCTCTGCCCTTTCAACAATTTCACAATCAGCTATTCAAATCCTCGTTATAGTTGTAACAATGCTATGGTGACTGAATGTTTTTGACATAATGACTGATCGACACTCACAATGGGAGGGGGCCCGCTCCTTTTTTGGACTTTTTTATTCACTTGGGCTCACGCGCTATGAGAGAATGTCAATCGTTATGTCAAAAATATTCTGGCAAAGTAGTTTAATTGTTATAATTGTCATGGAAAAATATGTATCACTTCAAATTTTTGCCTTAATCTAAGGTAAAAAAACAAAATTTAGGTTCATAAATTGAACGCGCTAAGATCATGTGATGATTTAAAAGAAATTTATACTATTCTCGTGATTATGCAACTATAATTAAAGGTTGAAAAAATCCATAATGCAACATTTTTGTTTTTATTTCGTTACAATTGTTTTGAAGTGCAAGTATTGTTTGTTCAATGATCGATGTAGGTTTTACTTTCGATATGTTCACTGTTGACGGACCCGAACCCAGATGATCCATTGGTTCCAGAAATTGCTCACATGTATAAAACTGATCGAGCCAAGTATGAATCAATGGCTCGGAGCTGGACCCAAAAGTATGCTATGTGTTGAAATCAAGTTTATTATTTTTGTTCAACTAATTAATTCCTAAATTATCGAGTGTCAAAATATAAAATTTTAGAGTGGCTATGCTCTTTAATGTTGCATAGTTTATGTTTTAATAAATGCATCGAACGTTATTTAGAAAATCTGTGCTCATATGGGAAATGGATCGTTCTATTTGAGTGAGATTTTGAAAAGAGTTGCAATATGTGTAGTATTCGCTTCATTTCCCCTTTGAAAATGACAAGATGATTGTTGACGTTTTTGCTAAATAATAATTTGCATTGGTTGTATCCTAAGCACCTTTTAGTTATCGAAAGTCCTGAGCGTGACTGCAAATTAGGGATGGTAATGAGATGGGTCGAGACGTCCCTGCTTTGTTTAGTTAATTAATTTTTATTTTTCATTAAAAATACATAATGTAATAAAATAAAAAGATTTGTGACGAGTTCGAAATTCAGGGTATGAACCACGTTCCGTGGGCTCTGGCAATGCGTATAAAAAGAACCAATGCCTTAAATAACTAAAATATCTTGATTTTCTTAAATTATTTTTTAATACATATATATCAAAAAGTGCACCAATAATAATTTAGAGTAATGCTGCTTGCAATCGCTTACTACCATAGTCACCCTATGTGACGTATATATTGCGATTACTGATTTAATGCGTACTACATTAATGCATCAAATCACTAATTGTCATATGTATATTATGTAGGATGACTACAGTAGTGAGCCACTACAAATAGCATTATTTAGTATTTACAATTTAAGGAACATTTGAAATCATTTCTTTTATAGTCTCTCGAATTTCCAAAAGGTTTACATTTCATATAAGAAATACAATTAATACAGCGCTCGCTACACTTTAAAAATATTTCGAGCCTCTACATGCCTATTAAAAATAATATAAATATGGGGTAGTTATTAGAAATTAAATTGTACCAATTTATTTTTGGGTTTGAAACATAACCAATAAGATATCATTTTTACGAACACAAAATATTGAGAAAATGCTTTTACTTGTGGATAAGTCCATAACTCGAATATCTTTACCTAGCAACATCATCTTAGAACTTTCACCAACTCCTTAACAATCGTGACTACACAGAATGTTGTGAAATATGGAATGAACAAACATGTGTCCGGCTATAAGCATTGAATCTTCAAGTTTGGGATTCCCTTAGATTCCTAGATTGTACCCCGAGCATTCGCTAACAAAAAATGGTTAACAAAAAAAAATATCTCACTAGTGCCCCTTTCGACAATGGTAGTGATCATAACGAGTCTTATTGACCCTTCATAAAAAACTCCATGACTTATCAGGTAAATTGTCATTCTATCGTCCGTCTTGAAATCCTTGAGCATTCTCAAAATTCAACTCTCTTATATTCTAAGTTACATGTTCTCATATTAGACTACCATAATCTTAAAATAACAAAGAAGTTTTGAAGTAATCATATAACAAACTAAATATTATTCAAACTTACACACAGCAAAATAGAGAAATTTAGAAAATAGTGACGTCCAAATGTATTTTTAAATATATGTTGATATTATTTTAAATATCTCTACAAGATATCCAAAAGATGAGATATGAGGTAAAATCTTCGTTGATGTAGTCTAAAAAACATGTTGGAGATAGGTTTTGAGCACTTACTGGAATTTTTACAGGAGGATCTATCGATTGGAGAGTGAAAAATAGGGTTTCACGGGGGGTTTGGAGGTGTTATTATCTTTCGAGTCATTTTTACAATAGTCATATCGAGTTAATTCTAGACAATGTCTAGAATTATTGGACATTTTTCATTAAATTACAAATGGTAAAAAAATTTCAACTTCAGCTACTAAAAAGATTTTCGCTGCAATTTCCTCTTTTTTCTATTTATTATATTTTCTTTTATTTAATCTTCTATTAAATTGAAAATAAAAAATATAATTGCCATTTCAGTAAAGTGAAAATTTTTAAACTAAATAAATAAGAATAATCCCTTCAAATGTAACAAACTGATAGAATTAGAAATTCAAATGCCAAGGAAATAAATCCAAACGCTCCATTATCTATAAGTTTGAGCCCCTCGTGTGTGTGTGTGTGTGTGTGTGTGTGTGTGTGTGTGTGTGTGATGGATCATGTAATATGAATTAATATGTCCAGAAAAATGTAGAAAGGATAAATAGCAGAAAATCCACATAAACCTTTTTATGTGCAATATACTACTTAACTATTGAAAATATCAAAAAACCTCTCTATTCGAAACATTTTGTGCAAAAAACCCCCTATCATCAGGGGCGGACATAGCAAGATTGAGTTAGAGGGACACAATCAAACTTTGTATAAATCGAATACTTTGTTTTTTATTTTTTGAATGATTCATATTTGACCCGAAAAAATGTAAATTTACATTTCAAAAATATTTCTTCATTAATATTTTGCAATCATTTTCATCTATTTGATTTTGAACAATAATTTTTTTAATATTTTGCTCATCACAAGAAAATGCATATTTATGTTTTAAAAAATTGTGTATTTGATACAAAAAATCAATTCAACTAATCGAAAGAAAAAACAAATAACCAATATTCAATACTAATAATCAGTCAAATAAACACAATTCGTTATATATAAGATAAATTTTATATAATCAGTAAAGACACGTGTTATATACACAAACAGGATAGGAGAAAATACAAATTTAGGTTCTAATTAGTTGAAAATTTTATTGAAAAATGAAAATTTATAGTAGATGTGATAACTGTAAAGAAATTATAAATAAATTTTAAAAAATTTGAAGAGTTTAGATTTTGTTAAAAAATTTAAGGGAGAGAATACAATAAAACAATAAAAAATAAAAAATTCAAATTTATTGTGATTTTATTTCTGTTTGTTGGGGATTAAAATCCGATTTTCAGTAAACTTTGATAAACTTTTAGAAGTTAAGAAATCCATGAAATATGTTATTAAAATTAATTATTAATTTTGATTTAGATTAATATTTAAATTTCAATCGATACCAAACATGACTTTATCAAGAAAAAAAAAATTCTCAAAAGTTGGGGGGGGGGGGGGGGGCCCCCCCCCCCCCCCTTGGGTCCGCCCATGCCTCTCATCAAGATCCATTAGATTTATTGCTAAAAACAGTAAAAAATGTCAAAATTAAAAAGAAATAATTCAATTTCAATACCTAAACCTTTCGTTTTTTGTTTTTTCTAACAAATTAAATCCAAATTTTTTTATATGTATTACCTATGATCCCAAATCGTCAAAACTTTATTTTTTAACCCAACCCCCGACCACCACCACCACCCACTCCAATCCATCTTCTTTTCCCCCCAAAAAATAATAATAAATAAATAAATAAATAATTATCTCCTTCAAACAATAACGACAGAAATTCATCCGCTCTCAAAGATGATAGTTGTTCACCATCTTTCTAGAGTCATCTAAGCTCTATTCTACCAAAGGCATCTCTCACAAGCTTGCGCCCCAAATCAAACATATATTTTCTTTCGTTCTTTTTTCCCCCTTCTTCTGGTCTTTTTTCCCCATGAAACATAGAAAAAAATTATTCCAAGTGATATTCTACCACCCTATATATTTTTTGCTGTTTAAAATTCAACTTAGTGCCTGTTCGATATCTCTATTTTCCACTCAATTTGTGTTGTTTTATGACACTTATTTTGCATGGAATTACTTTTCCATTTCTCCCTCACTCCCACTTTCTTGATTTTTAAGGTTTTGGCGAGAATTAGACTTTCCAGATTTTTTTTTTTTTGGAAACAAATTCTATTCATAATTGTAAAAAAAAAATCTATCAATTTAATGAACACCAGAAGATCCAAAATTTCAACATTGTTCAGGTGAAAAATTATATCAATTAAACACATTTAATTGACAATTCTCAATAAAAACAAGTTCCAGACAATTCAAGCTCCTGGAATTCTTTTTTTTTTTCCACCCAAATTTCATTCTTGCAATTAAACGGGCTCTTAGTGAAAAGAAGCAAAGGATTAGAAATAATTAACCAATCAAGAACAATATACTATTGCAGTAAAAACTAAAAATATCTATATGATCTTAACCATGAATGGGAAATAAACAACATAAAATTGCACAGTTAGTCACCAACCTTTAAAAATTTGAAATTTAAACTTCAACTTCTCATCATAGTAACTCAAACCATCCCCATATTAAAATAAATAAATAAATAAATCATTCAAATTCCGACTTGAGTTCTCCAGAAATTTGAATCGGAGCATATTTTTATAAAAATCACAATACTATTTAACGAAGATAGCAACAGTTTCCATCATTGGAGATCTTAATTTAAAACAATTATAAAAGGTAGCAATGGTGTAATTTAACCAAACGATGAAGTGTCTACGTATTCAGTTGCCAGCCCAATATTTTACGGCTTACTGTGTTGAGAAACGCCAACACTTTTCCACGAAATCAAAAATCTTAATAAATAATTGTCAACGCCTTCCTATAGCACTATCTCACTACAAAGTTTAACACCAACAATGAAAATGCAGTGCGGATTTTTTCTTACATCATAATTTACTTGGGAGAAATCATAAGCTGATCACTGATCCATTCTCTTGATGTACAAGGAGTCGAAAAGACAAAAACCAAATTGAAATGATAAAACTTGATAGGTGTATTACGAAAGAATTTACCTGTTCACGACGTTTCAGCAAATTCCGCTTTAATAGGCGAGTATTTCTCAGCCACTACACCGCCTTTGTCCTTCTGGAATTGAATATACCGCAGTGTACTTGCAAAGAAAGCATCGGCAGATAGATCAGCTGTTGTATTCTCACCGCTCATCTCTTGTTTGATCAATTCAATCAGACTCTGGATTGAATCAATAGTAACTTGCAACACCCCCTTCTCGTAGAAATAGAGATACCTAATAATACACAAAGATGAGGCATTTCAAATTGAAGACCACTTGGAAATATAAAAAGGACGGCATATGAAAAGGTTTTTAAGTAAATAGAAGAGTTGAAATCATCACTTGTTCAATATTTCTATAAAGAGTACGACTGATCCACTGCTCCCTCGACTTGCATTAGCCATTTGTTGAGCGGCATTTGCAATTCTCAAGGCACGCTTTAAACAAAGCATGACCCTGGAACAATCATATAAGATGGAGAAAGAAGTTAAAAAACGCTATACTAAAATAGAATTATTTAGAATTTCTGAAACGTCCATACATGTGGCGAGCAGAATTACATACCTCTCCCCGTCTTTCATGTCATTATGTTCGTCAAGCCAGAAAAGGTGCGAGCATGCATATACAGCTCTGCATTGATCGGGCTTCTTCAAAAGCTTTGAGGAATACTACCAAGAGAATTAGAGAAAAAATGGAGTCATAGAAAGAATACAAGTTCACACACTATTAGATTACTGACAAATAAATATGCTACACAAAAAGACAATGTGCTAGGAGTAGGATTATTGTACCCCTGTGGCCTTGTGTGTTAATGTATCCCTGTTCTCAACACCAAAGACATGCATCCTCTGAAGAGTCCCAATTATCAGGTGTATGGAGGTCACCTGAGCTTTTGAATCCTATCATAACAATGAAATTAGGCAATGTGAAAACATGTCCAGTGGATGCGTCAAACTGAAAACTTTCCAAACTAATCAATCAATTTGGTGAATTTCAATAGTATAAGACAAGTTAGCTAATACCGAGATCTCTTCTTCATACAAAATATAAGCCTGGGTAAAAAATTCATAGGCCACGGGTTCTAGATCACAGTCATTTGCAGCCTGATAATCAAAACCATAGAAGCAACAACACGTAAGAAGAAATACAATGTCTCCTTTTATGTTCCATGAGAGAAAGCGATAAAGTACCTCAGCACATTGCAGATACAACCCTAGAGCTAGTTCAGGAACTGGAACACTCGATAAAGCCTCAATTGTCTACAACAAAGAGGTGATCAAAATGGCTAAGCTGGATACTAACTGCATAAAACGATAGTAGAAAATTTTCCAATTGGCATATCATGTAGAAAAGATTCATATCAACCTAGCTGTGACCAAAGGAAGAGCAAGGAAAAATTGAAGAGCGCTACCAAAAATGTGGAGCATAGGAACTTGCCAAAGATATCAGCTGTAAGAAAAGAAGCACGAAATATATGTGCACATTCCAAGAGTTCAATAGCAAATAAATTGAGCAAATATTTTGGGCAGAGACAAGCAGAAGTATAGACGGTTAAGCTTGTAGACATAGAGCTATAGTGATGGTTTCAACTAAATACCTGCATCAAAATCTGAAAGATATCCTTTGGTGTAGCTGCAGCCTCTTCTCCAGATACATTTTCGTTCTGACTTTGCAGTCGCCTAACCAACTGCACATGAAAGGTAAAATCAAATCAGGATGCACACTAACATCAAGTCAACCCCATTTAAAACCAACAGTGAATTGCATGCTTCCTTTTCTCTTCATTTTGCATAAAATTGCCGTTCGTTATTTTTTAATTCCTCCCATCTGGGAAGTGGCACCTGCCACTGCATCAAATCATTTAAAACAATGAACATAAAATTTGCCTCTTTCCTTATGTCACTCTGCATCTCCCATCATAATAATGCAATAAAGTTGACACCAAAATATCCACGTCAAAGAAGCACAAACGACACGCAGACGGGCAATTTTTCAAAAAAGTACCGAAACGATACATCATCAACACGTTGATTAAATTCTTCACTTATATAGTTAAATTTTATTTTATACTTGTTATTAATTTTTCTTGTCAAAATCTTTTAAATATGAGTACCTATTTGTTATAGAATAACAATTTCAATGAGTTAAAAATATAAACTATTTCGGATAAGAAAAAAATGACCATGATATAGTGTCTAAGAAGTGTCAGTATCCAACATGTGTACGTGTTTACAACCTAGTCGAAGTGTCCATGCTATAGAGAGCACAACCATGAACTCCACTCATACTTTGGGCAGATCTAACTCACGGATGTGATGGGACATGATAAAAATCCGAGGATTATTTTCGTACAATTTTTTATCAAGGATAATTTATGATTATCTTGCATTTGAATTCTTGAATATACACTGGGGACAAGAGAACGCAAAATTATTATTTCAGCAATTAGCCTTCTTATTCCTCTTCTAATCCCTTCCACTTGCCCGCCCACCCTACCTTAAAAAAAGGGGGGAGAGAGAGAGAGAGAGACAGAATTTTAGTTTTTCAAGTTCCATTTTCTCTATTTGCATTTCAGTGGTGGACTGATGGTGGATGGAACTCAGTATTGTTGTTGTTGATTGGAAAAGAGGGAGGGGGAGGGGAGTTATGGAGTTGAAGGATGGCTACCGAGCCAGGGAAAGGGGGAGAGAATTGGAACGACCACGAGTAAATTGGCCTTTCTATTCCTGATTGCAGAAGATTCCCGTGCAAAGCTTTTATCTGGATGGATAACCAATTCATGTAGTGTTTGTAAAATTTAATAAACTCTTACATACTTCTCCTTAAAATGGTTTGCGCCCTACACCCAATATCTTAATAAATGTATGTTTTCATGATGTTTCATCCATAAATCTTTGGGAGACTGGATGATTGACATTGAAACTAAGAAAGAACAGACAAGCTGGTTAGTTGGTTTACATAGTAAATTCTAAACATTAGAAATATGATTGGTACATGAAGAGACCGTGTCTCATAACAGGTTAACTTTGCCTGGAAAAGGAACAAATACTTGCATTCTACCTAAAGGCTGACAACGTGCGCACATAGGAGACAAATTGTATGATGCATGACTCCATCTACAGGTTAAATTCTCTTCACAACAAAAGCATAGAATAATTAATATAGGATTTTGATGAGGACATCTACTTTTTATTTATTTTTAGTTGGACTTTATTTATGTTTTAGATTTTATTTATGTAATTGGGCTTGTGTTGGTCCAAGTCCATTCTACTTAGCGTTTTAGTCTTTACTATTTAAACTTAATTGCGATATAATTTCATTAATTTTGATGAATTGAAGAATATTTTGGTGGTTTGTTGCCTATGGCTTCTCCTTCCTCTCCCTCTCCCTCTCCCCCCATGAATTTCTGATTCTTCTCCGGTTTCTCCCCCCATTCTCTTCGGTTCTCCCCTCTTTCTTACTTCTTCTTTCTATTTTTTAATTCGTCATGTATCAAATTTGGTATCAGAGCCTAAACTTGGGTAATCTCTCATCTCCAATCCAAAAATCTCTTCCTATTTCTTTCCCAAGAACTTGTGGAACAGCACAAACAAATAAACTTTTAGTGTGAGCAGCCGAGTTATTATTTTTCCAGCTTCTTTATAGTTGTTCCCAAAAAAAAAAAAAGTTACTGTTCGGGGTTACTTTTCAGGCCCAATTTCAATTTTTTCCTTCGATTTTCTATCGTAGTTGCAAAAAAAAAAAAAAAACACTGTTCACATTACCGATCACAGGCGGAAATTTCAATTTAGGTTTTATTTGCAATTTCAATTCCCCCTCCCCCACCCCCCCAACCAACCACACCCAAAAAAAATAATAGTAATAAAAAATAATAAAAAAATCTCGTTTGCTGCTATTTCTTCTATACAATTGTAGTGTTGTTTCACAAATTCCAACCCTAACATTCAATCCTACTTACACACGGCCCAATTCCATTTAGCCCAACTAACCCAGCCTACTCTCTACGACCCAGGCTCGCTCCCCAAACACTAACCCCAACCCCCAACTAGCTCATCTCTATAACAGGATCCAAACCCCTTCCCATCTGACCCAGTCCCAAATATCTGACCAAGCACGATTATAACCAATCCATTAACATCAAATACCTCATAGTTTCACCCGATTCTTCTCTCACAACCCCACTCTCTTGTCGCCGCCGCCTCTAATCGCCATCACGTTACCACTTCATTATCTATTGTACCCAGTCATCCAGAGCACTACCGCTTCATCGCCATAGGCCACCACCAACAACCCAAGATCATACACTTCCACCACAGTTACCACACTCATATATTTCCTCGTCCATCTCAACAATCTAAAAGCCACAGTCATCACACTCAGTTTTACGTCAACGCCAGAACCAGCACAAGTCACAGTCAACAGGGGCTAAAACCATTGGACACGAAGGGAAGACCAGAAGCATAGTTGGGGCTCATAAGTCGGCAATTCAGATCAATCAGCATACAAATAATCAAAACTAAACAACAGGGAGTCTCACAGTCATCATTCTTAGTTTTACGTCAACACCACAACCAGCACAAGTTACAGTCAACAGGGGCTAAAACCATTGAACACAAAGGGAAGAACAGAAGCATAGTTGGGGCTCATAAGTCGGCAATTCAGATCAATCGGCATACAAATAATCAAAACTAAACAACAGGGAGTCTTTGATCTCTATTTAGTATTGATTTATACTACTGCTTCATTTTTAAAATTGCATCAATTAAAATCTTGTGTTGCTGTTATCCTGATAATTTTAGCCTTAAATCCCACTTGATCGAAACCATTAATCGAATTGACACCAGTGACCGAATTGACTACCACTGTTCCCCACTTAAATTGATTGGAGAATTTGATTAGTGTGTTAACCCTTGCTTTGCCATTTTACATGTACCAGCAGTATTAACTTGTTTTGGATTTAATTAATACCAATATTTAAAATTAAATACAAAAAAAATTGGTATAAGTTATTTTCCATTGCTTGCACGTATTGTTCACTGATCTCATCATAGCACGTCATTTAGCTAGTATTACATTGCATGTAGTTGCGTAGTTGTCGTCTTATAGTCTCTATTTCCAATACATTGACCATGGATCCATCCCAATTTGATGCACTCACTAGACAATTAGCGCAACTTGCCACTAGCCTATCGAATGTCCAATCAAATATAGCTGCTACTCGTGAGGAGAGAAATAACCTAGCTGCTGAGTTGAGCAATTTTAAGCGAACCCCTCGTTTGATTGACACTAATTCTGAAGCGTCTCACAATAGACAATATCATCGTGGACAAAGTGATCAAGAATATTTTCGACACGATCGTAGGAATAGGGATCAGGTTGAACAATGCCATGGTCATCATGGTACTCATTCTCTTCCTTGTCGTAAGGAGCGTTTCTTTAGAGACATTGACTTAGATATTTCTACTTTTGATGGTTGCTTAGATCATGAAATTTTTACCCAATGGAACACCCTTACACAAGGGAACGACTAGTAACTGAGTACATTGCTCAATTTGAGGAATTTCGAGTGAAATGTCATGTCGTTGAGGATGAGGCCCTGACTTTAAGTAGATTTATACAAGATCTAAGAGATGAACTTAGGCGTGAACCTTTTTTTCGAAACATCACTACTCTTGATCAAGTTTACTCTTCAGCTCGGGACTCCGAGTTACTTATTAGTACTCCATATGAAAAGCGGGACCACCATCGTTCTCCCATGTCATTAGCACCACCTCAACATGAGTCTGTCATAGAGCCTTCCCCGTCTGGTGTTCCTCCCATTTGGAAAAATAAGTGTAAAGGTCGTGATAGTCCAAGGCCCCCTTCTCTTTATAGAAGGCGTATTGACAACCATTCTTCCGTCTCATTGGCTACACCTTGTCTGTTAAGTCTCTTCTAGGACCTCCCCCGTCCAATGTTCCTCAAATCTTGGAAAATAAGAGTAAAATTTTTAAAACTCCAAGGACTTCAATTTTTAAAACTCCAAGGACTTCTTCTCACCTGCTATACATCAGCTGTAAGGACTTTGGCCACATCTCTTCCAAATGTCCTAATCGAGCCTTAGTCATAGAAGAACGAAAGGATATAATAGAAGAGTCATTAAAAGATCAAATCTATGAACCTAAATTTGAAGAATGTGATGACTTGAATGATATAGAGGACACTTCCTTATGTAGTATCAGGACTTTTCCTATGAATCTAGGGGTTGTACCCCTTGTTCCCGATACCCCTCAGTTAAATGTTGTGTGTCATACTCTTTTTCAACCCAAAGGTACGGATGATTTGTGTAATCATGTCCTTTTCAAGGAAAATCTTGAGAATTGGGATTTGATCCTCCCAATAATTCAAATTGCATATAACAATTTTGTGCATCTGTTTATCGGTACAAGTTCCATCGAAGTTATTCATGGTTATAAATCTAGGAAACCTTTAGACCTTATTCCAATGTCCCCACATGCTAGTATGTCTGCATCAGCTAAGACATTTGTACGTCATCTTCATGATTTGCATATTGAGATCAATAAACAATTTAAAGCAAGTAATGCATTCTATAAACTTCAAGCTGATTTGCATAAGAGAAATTTTGAATTTAATATTGGGGATTATGTTATATTGCAAGCTTGTAGTGCTGGTCCTTTAAAAATTTTAAAGCATGTTGGTTCAAATGCACATGTCATTGCCCTTTCATCACATTTTGGCTACCACTCTACTTTAAATATTGAGGACTTCATTACTTACAAACACCGTATTACTTCCTTTGATGATCTATTTCTACTTAACTTTATGAACCCCCAACTTGACTATGTTGATATTTCTACTTCAATACCATCTACCACAGCACACAAAGATAAAATTGATAATATTTTAGATAAAAGTGCTGTATTGACCAATGATGGCAAGATTCAGTACTTCCTTGTTTGTTGGGTAGATCGACGTGCTTCTTATGTTCCTCATTATATACAATCATGTGAAAATCTTGAAGATGAGGTGCATGAGTATTGATTATTTGGAGTCCAGTATCAGTACTTGGTTAGAAGGAAAGATCGTCACCCTTGGTCAGATCATATTCTTGGGAATAAGCTACAATTTTTAGTACTATCAATCATGAAATTTTGTTACTTGGTTTGTCAGAAAGATCGTCCCCCGTGGCTTGACTTGACGCATTTGTAGTATCAGATTGACTGCAGCCTATACTATCTATCAACTCGACAGGGTCGAGTTTTTCTCCCACCCCGGGAGAGTTGATGAGGACATCTACTTTTTATTTATTTTTAGTTGGACTTTATTTATGTTTTAGATTTTATTTATGTAATTGGGCTTGTATTGATCCAAGTCCATTCTACTTAGCGTTTTAGTCTTTACTATTTAAACCTAATTGCGATGTAATTTCATTAGTTTTGATGAATTGAAAAATATTTTGGTGGTATGTTAGCTCCTCCTCCCTCTCCCTCTCCCTCTCCCTCTCCCCCATGAATTTCTGATTCTTCTCCGATTTCTCTCCCCATTCTCTCCGGTTCTCCTCTCTTTCTTGCTTCTTCTTTCTATTTTTTAATTGGTCCTGCATCAAATTCCATGCCCCTCTTCCTTCAGAT